TGCCTCTTGAGAGAATAGCCAAGGAGAGAGTGGAAGAGAGCATTCAAAGGAGGATTCCTACCATTGGAGCGAGAAGGCTTCACTTGGATTTCAAAGGTAAGAGTCTCTACTTGTGAATTAGGATTACTTCACTCTTTTCTTTCTTCCTTCTAGATTCTTGTGAGAAGATCTGTCAAGGAGATCTGGTTCTCTGTCGACACTTTGAGAGTGTGAACAGACGAAGGGTTCCCTGCCTACACTTGCAGAGTGTGAATAGCCGAAGGGTTCGCTGCCTACACTTGGTTAGTGTGAATAGCCGAAGGGTTAGATTCTTGTCAAGGTTTTAGATATTACATGCTGATTGTTGATGATTTTACACGCTATTCTTGGATTTTTCCGCTTAAACGTAAATCTGAAGCTATGCAAACTTTTCTTTATTTCAAGAAGCTAGTTGAAAATCAATTTCAAACAATGATTAAAGCTTTACAATCTGATAGAGGTGGAGAATATCTCAATAAATCTTTTCAACAGTGTTTAAAAAATTTTGGCATTGCTCACAGGTTTACATGTCCGTATACTCCCCAACAAAACGGTATAGCTGAAAGAAAACATAGACATTTAATAGAAACTATGCGTGCTCTTTTATTTTCTGCAAATTTACCTCATAAATTTTGGGTTGATACTTTGTCTACGGCTGTTTATCTTATAAATAGATTGCCCATCAACTCTCGGTATAAGTTATAACCACATCAATGCTTGTTTAAACACCAACCTGAGTACAATCATCTGCGAGTGTTTGGTAGTCTCTGCTATCCCTGGTTACCTCCGGTTCATCGAAACAAATTTCAGCCTCGTTCCATTTCTTGTGTCTTTCTTGGCTATGCTGATAACACTTCTGGTTATAAATGCCTTGATCCTTTAACCAATCACATATATCTATCTCGGCATGTTAAATTTGTTGAAACAGAATTTCCTTTCCGATTTACTGCTCCTTCGAATTCTATGATTTCCACACAACCTAAGTTGTCCTCACATTCTTTCATTCCACCTCTCACTTTAGTTCCTACCACGGCTACTTCTCCTATTACAACTTATGGTCCTTCTGCTACTTCTGCACCGACCCCTTCAATTCAGCAAATTCAACCGGATATTATTCGTTCACCGGCTCCAGATTCATATTCATCTTATATAAATCAATCCAATACCTCTGTCCAAACTAGCTCATCTTTGGTTCCTGTTAACCGCCATCCTATGATCACTTGCAAGCAAACTGGTTCCCTTAAACCGGCAAGGATTTTTTATCTGCAAACAGATATCATACCTCTTTCCCCCCACTTCATTTACCGAAGCTAGAAAATTTTCTAATTGGCGTGAGGCTATGTCTACCGAATTTCAAGCTTTACAAATGCAGGGAACGTGGTCCTTGGTTCCTCATTCTAATGATCAAAATGTGTTAGGATGTAAATGATTGTTCAAAACAAAATCTAATTCTAATGGTACCATTTCTCGTCACAAAGCTCGTTTAGTTTCTCAAGGGTTTAAACAAGAATATGGCTTTGATTATACGGATACGTTTAGTCTTGTAGCTAAATTTCCTACCGTTAGATTACTTCTTATTGTTGCTGTTACTAAACAATGGCCGATTTACCATTTAGATGTTTCTAACGCTTTTTTGCATGGCACATTATCGGATCAAGTTTTTATGAAACAACCACCAGGGTTCATTGATCCGCAATACCCCACTCATGTGTGTCGACTTCATAAAGCCATTTATGGTTTAAAACAGTCACCAAGGCAGTGGTTCTCCACTATGTCCGACACCTTAGTTAAATATGGGTTTGAAGCAAGCAAAACAGATCCCTCACTTTTAATTTTTCACAAAGACTCTATTTCTATGTATTTACTTATTTATGTTGATGATTTACTCCTCACAGGTAACAATGCTAATGAAATTCAATGTTTACTTAGCACATTGCATATTGTTTTTAACTTACGGAATTTAGGTCCTGTTACTTATTTTTTAGGCATAGAAATAGTTTCCAAGTCTACAGGCATGTATCTATCTCAAAGAAAATACATTCAGGATTTGCTAAACAAAAATGGTATGTCTCAATGCAAATCTGTTACTAGTCCTTTACTGTCAAAACTGCCTATTATCTCTGAAAAATCCAAACTTTTCGAAAAACCCACTGATTACAAACAATTGGTCGGTTCTTTACAGTATATTACTATTACTCGATCGGATATTATGTTTGCAGTTAATTACTTATGTCAGAAAATGCACAAGCCATATCAGGTTCATCACCAGCTTCTCAAACGAGTATTTCGGTATCTCAAAGGCACGGCAGAATTTTCACTGCCCATTCGTCCATCTACATTTAACCTGCAAGCATTCGCCAACTCCGATTGGGCTGCCAATCCCAATGATCGACGTTCCATCTCTGGATTTTGTGAATTTTTGGGCGATAATCTCCTTTCTTGGTCCGTTAAGAAGCAACCTATGGTTGCTCGCTCCTCGACGGAAGCCGAGTATCGAGCTCTTGCATCTACAGCAAGTGACATCATGTGGCTACGAAGACTGCTCTCAGATTTTCAAATTCCATGGAAGACGGCAACACCTCTATATTGTGACAATGTTTCAGCTTTGGATCTTGCAAATAACCCAGTCTTTCATACCCGAACAAAGCACATTGAGGTGGACTACCATTTTATTCGGGACTGCATCAAGAATGGGCATATCACTGTCCATCACATTGCGTCTGTAGACTAGCCAGCGGACGTGTTTACCAAATCTTTATTTGCTACCAGATTTTTATTTCTTAGAAACAAGCTAACCATCCATGGTTAACTTGAGGGGGGATATTAGATATATTGTATTGGACGGTTAGGATGCATTTAATCCTGACCGTGTATAGGTCATCTGTATCTATATATAGGTCTGCCTGTAATACATTTAAGCATAATAAAGTTTTCATTTCCTATTCTCTATTTGAGCTTCTTGGTTTGTCATCAGATTCTAGACTGTGTTGGTATAACTGTCACCTACGAATGGTCTGTGCCTGACTGCGAGATTGATGTGGGGGCCTCCATTCCTGAGTCAATTTTGTTGTTTATCCTGCTATGTTTGGTTTTGCTAGATTTTGCTGTTGTATACCCTGGTTTTTGACCTCTCGATGTTGTACTCCTTTTATCAATTGAATAATATTCTGTTTTGGTAAAAACGAAATTAGTGAAGCACTAATTAGCCTAAAATAAGAAATACCAACCGAACAAGTCAGCAATCCGCGTGGACGGTGTTGCCGGCTACGTTGCGATGAGGACGACTTCTCACTACTTCGACTCATTAGGCACTGTCATAGTGAGAACTGTAGGCTACCACTAGCAGCTATCGATATACACATTGAGAGAGCTGAAATACCCAAAGGAATAGAGTCAAAAATACTGGAGCCATATTGCAAAGCTACATAGGGGATTGTAGAGAATTAGGTATTTTTTTATGCTAACATACAGACAAATTTGAATTCTGAGTGGGGTTCGTGCCCACAGTACTCCCAGCATGTATCTGCCACGTAATGCTTTGAAGTAATATTTTCATCATTAAAAAATATTAATATTTATTTTAATAATTTATTTAAATTTATATTTTATTAGACATAGACAAAAATCTATAATTATCATATTTCATCTTAAATATTTAAGTATTTGTTTTATAAAAATAGAAATGTATAACATAGAAATTTTATATACACACACAAATGTAAGATGAAGGGAAGAATTTGAGCGTAATAGAAGTACCAATGGCTTCCTAGCCAAATCATAAGGTCTGTTCACAGCACCCAGAGTACTACGTTCGATTTCCACAAATATCATGATTGTTGTGGGTTTTTGCTATATGTTTTTGTGATTATGTTATGAGCTTTTATATACACTGTGGTTAATGTACCAGTGGGGGCAATGCCCTCAGGGCTCCCACTTGAACTTCGCCATTGCATGTATTGTCTAGTACATGTGAGACTAATTTAATTAATGATAAATGTATATATTAATATTATTGACAGTAGTATCATACTGTCTAGCACATATTGTCATCTATTATTATTCATATATATAAACTTTTTTGTTTAATTGGTATATTTAATGGATTACTAATTTGTTTTCAAATACTTGTTTATAAAATACAGTTTTTGATAAATTTTGAAATACGTTCAGTAGCTTGAAAGAGAGAGAGAGAGAGAGAGCGGAAATGAGAAGCCTGTGGGAGCCCATTAGCTGCTACTCTCCTTTTAGCATTGATGCCTTCCATTGGCGAAGGCAACAAGCAGCCGAATTCATTGATTTGGGAAGGGGAATCCAATTTTAAAATGAATCAAATCTTGGGGCCACAGCACTTTATTGCCTATATTTCAACTTTACATCTCATGTGAGGAAAGTAGTCGCCTCTATAATGATCCTTTTCTTCTTCCATATAGATCAAGAATGCTTTTGGCTTTTCATCTATAAATTATAAGCTTGTACACCAAATTTTGAATAATTCTGAAAATATTAACTTAAGCAATATGCCATGATAGAACTCCTAGAGAAATCCTAAGAAATATGCCATGACAGAACTCGATAAATAGATGGTCTTGTGTGCAGATTTCATTTGGCAACATAAGATCATAAATATCCTTGGGGAGTAAAATCTCGTTGTCATCAATTTGAAGAACAAACACAATTATTTGCACTTACTGGACCACCTTTTTGCAAGTGATGCAAGTCGTAATCATGAAGGATGTTAAAGAAGGGTCTTAAGCTTTATTACAACAATTACCAAACTTTTGTTCAAGCCAACCAATGTCTCCATCAGCAGCCCTCAATTTGTTTCTTTCCACTATTTTCTTCTGCGAGAATATTTGTTCTTCTGAACTTTTTGACCTTCTGAATGATGATGGTTTAACAACAATTTGGCCACTAACAAGTAATGATTATATTTTGGTTTTGCCTTTTTAATGGAATTATGAAAATTAAACCCACTTGAATTTTTTTGAAGTCATACGGTAGAAGATGCCATATGTTGGACTCAAATTTATTTGAGGATATCACCCAACTTTCTTTTCAAAAAAATAAAAAATAAATAAAAATTACTGCATTAATATTACGACATTTTTAATCAAGTGCCTTAATACATACTGAAACCTATTTGGAGTCAAATAGATCACTTCCATTCGCCCTCTGCGAAAGATAATTACAATTACTGCTTTTACCTCCCTATTTCCTCTGTCACACGATTGGTTTCTCGCTTGTCTGTGGTTTCGACCTTATTTCTTTCTAAATGCTTGCACTATTGCTCCATCGTGTGACGCCCCTAAGTTTAATTTGGAAGAATTATGCTTTTACCTTTTAAAAACAACATCAGAGCTATCTATTTCACTCTTATCAATATAATATAAACTGAAACAAAACTAGTAATCAAAACATTAAAATACATCTACATTTTTATTCCAAAATCATATATAATACTCAAGAATCATATAATTACAATACATCATCTTCAATTAGTCCTAAATACAGAAGAATAGCTAAAGGACAAAAAATAAACTAACAGTTGTTGAGTCATGAAATATTCGCAGTGGGTAGAGAAATATATATGTAGTTTAACGTCTTAGCTTTGTACGAAGATCCAACTAGAGAGTGCAACATTCATAATAGGCCCCAGAGTTTTTATGTGGAAACCCTAGAAACGGGGGAAAAGCCATGGGGCCTGCCTAGTTTGAAATGATCCACTAGTATTTGTAGTTCATTACAATGAGGTTGTTCCTTGGGGGGAAGACTTGGCCTTATCTAACAAATATACATCAAATGGAGTGCATAACATGGTGGGAATATGAAGAAATTCTATTGAAGTGTTCGTTTGGTCGGAAGGACCATAATCAGTGGGCGATGGAGGTTAAAAAGAACATTGTCTAGCAACGGAGGTTGGAAAGACCATTGTCTGGTGACGAAGGTCAGAAGGAGCGTATTTGACGAAGGAGGTCGGAAGGACCGTAGTCGGCGGGTGACGGAGGTTAGAAAGACTATTAGTGGTGGTCGATAGAGGTCGAAAAGATTGTTGTCTGGCGACGAAGGTCAGAAGGACCGTAGTTGGTGATGGAGGTCTGAAAAATCAATGCCGGCAGTAGAAGGAGATCGAAAAGACCGTAATCTGGCAACGGAGGTCGGAAGGACCGTAGTTTGCAAGGAGGTCAGAAGGACCATAGTCGGTGGGCGACGAAGGTTGCAAAGTCAATTTTCGGTGGGAAATGGAGGACAAAAAGACCTTTGTTTAGTGGTAGATGTTAGAAGGATCGTATACAGTGAAGGAGGTCGAAAAGACCATAGTTGGCGGACCATGGTGATCGAAACGATCGTTGTCCAATGATAAAGGTCAGAAGGATCGTAGTAAGCTGGCGACGAAAGTCGGAAGGACCATAGTCAGTGGGAAACGAAGGTTAGAAAAACTATTGTCTGGCTATAGATGTCAGATGGACAGTAGTCGATGAAAGAAGTTTGAAGGTTCGTAGTAAGTAGGAGATAAAGGTCGAAATGATCATTGTCTGGCGACGGAGGTTGGAATGACTATAGACGGCAAAGGAGGTCAAAAGGATCATAGTCAGCTTGCGACGGAGGTTGGAAAGACTATTGTCGGCAAGCAAAGGAGGTTAGAAAGTCTATTGTCTGCCAAAGTATGTAAGAAGGATGGTTGTCGGCGAGTGGCGAAGGTTGGAAAGACCTTTATCAACGGGCGATAGAGGGCAAAATGACTAAAGTCAATGGGAGAAAGAGGTTAGAAATATGAAACTTCATAAGTAAAAGAAGTTAAACTCTTAAATAAAAGGACACTTTTTGGTGTATTCATTGGAATTTCATTAAGAAACTCTGCAATTAAGCGTGATCTTCCTATAGTAATTTTGGGATGGGTGACCTACTAGGAAGTTACGCCAACAAGATAAAACTATAAGGCTCTTAGGCCAAAGCTGATAATATATCAATAGTTAATAGTTTGGGATATTATAGGAAATATTGTAGTATGATGATAGTGGTCGAAAGGACCGTTGTTAGGTGGAAGTCCAATAATAATTAGAAGCTAGGTGGAAGTTTGGTGTTAGTGACTGGGAAGAACTCTAGCGTCAATTGTGAGTCGGTCGGAGGTCCAGCAAAAGTTCTATTATAGTTAGTAGTTGGGAGAATGTCTAATGATAGTTGGTGGCTGAGTAAAAGTCTGGCATCCTATGGTGGCCGGGTGGAAGTCTGACGACAGGAGAAAGCCTGGCATAATACTGAAGTATGGCATTCGGTAGTGGTCCAACAAAAGTATGGCAATAAGTTGGTGGTCAGATAGAACTCTAGCGTCGAGTGGTGGTGAAACGAAAGTCTGGGCACTGGTCGAGGAGGACTTAGGTGACAATAGTGATCTATGATCTCTCCTCTTAATTCATTTCTTTGGGGTCACCTTTCAAGAGAAGTAAAGGGTCTAATTATAGATTTATGAGAGTGGCATGGCCCGTAAATAGGAGAAAGATCAATGGTAAATTGGTAGTGGTTTGAATGGACGACTAATTTTTAATCCCTTGATCAAGGAGCATTTTTTGGGCATTTAAATATCTAATTATTATCAGAATTTGATTATCTTGGGCTTGTTGGATTTGTTTAGCTAAGACGCTCAATTGACTATAAGCATGTCATGCTTAGAAACTATTTCATAATCCAAACTATGGTTTAATCCTTCAAAATGTGCTTTTGGTCATTCATTTGTACCTATTTGGTCTTGGATTGAATCAAATTTGGTGTGGCTATGTTTGTGTTTTCGAGACATTTAGTTTGATAGTAGGTCCCATATTTAAATTTTGAAGTTTCCAACTTGATTTTTCCTCGAGACTCATGCCCAATCAAGATAACTTTTTAATTATATAGCATTTAGCTCCTATTTTTAGACATAGATGCTCAAGAAGTCCGAAAGTTTTGGCAATGTTTGAGCAAAAATCTAATGACAATCGACGGCCATATGAAAGTGCGGTGGTGATCGGCGATAGAGTGGAAGTCCGACGTAGATTGACAATCGGGAGGAAGTTTAATGGCAATCAATAGTTGAGAGGAGAGCTGGAGGAGATTATGGGAGGATATGCTAATAGTAGTTGAACGATAAGCCGA